TGATTTCCTGTGCTATAGAGACTGGAAAGCTTAAAACAAGAATAGAGACTTGTGTGAGTGTGTGTGTGTGGGTGGGTGTAAGTGTGTACTGAGACCCCTTGCATCTAGTGTCCCAAACAGATCTCCGTGTGTAAAACAAATGCACCGTAGTGAGACTTGGGGTTGGAACTGAATAGTGTGGGAGCCACATGCACGGACGGCTATGTATGATGAGAGAGATCTCTGGTATTTATGGGACAGCCACAGCAGAGTTTCTGGAATTCAGTGTGTCTGTCATACATGTCAAGCAGTGGAGAGGAAGCAGTGGTGTTTTAGCTGTAACAGTCCCATAGCGTGTGTGGGCCTCTCCTGGCTGTGCAATATCCAGACCTGCTTATCTGACCTTCAAAGAGTTTTTGTATACTATGTAATATATTTTACTAAGGATGTCTTATTTTTATAAAATAGCTAGAATAAGCTCTGTCATAAGCAAATGGGAAGCTTGATTAACAGAGCACTTGAAACCAAAATCTGTTGCAAGCAAAGGGCCCCAAAGGAAATGGGCTCTGGTATAGGTTATCTGACCTGGGCAGATCTGAAAATAGTAAGGATCCAGTTGATGTTAGAGGATGAAATATTGGTATTCCATGGCCTCAGATGAGATGGCAGAAGCTGCCATTGACATGGCCCCCTTATTTCAGTGGGGATGTTAGAATCCTGGGTTCACAGGTCAAGTAGAAGCAGTTAACCTCCCAGGTCTAGGTGAGTGCTGTTTAACTTAATAGTCAGCAAGGCTGGAAGGGCAGAGGCATTGATTTAAGCTATAGTAACCCTTGAAGGTAGCTTATTGGTCAACAAGATTCCTTGGATCTTGAAATATCTGAACATTCTCAAAAGTTGCACTTGATCAATATAAAGATAAATAGAGTATAATTGTAATAAAATATAAGAAAATAAAATATTTATAAACTCTAGATCTGGGGACTTGAGCCATCTTGGTGGCGAATGATGGTCCTTTACTCAATTCCTACAACTGACCCAAAAAACCATGAATGAATAGACTATGGTGGTACCTCGGTTTTCGAACGTCTCCGTTGAAGAACATTTCAGCTTACAAACGCCATAAACCCAGAGGCAAATGCTTCCGTTTTCGAACATGCCTCAGAAGTCAAACATGCCACACAGCTTCCGCTGAATGCAAGATCCTGAGGCCTAGCTGTCAGCTGTTGATCCCTTGGTTTTCGAACATTTCAGGACTCAAACAGTCTTCCAGAACGGATTACATTAGAAAACCGAGGTACCACTGTACTGAGGAAAGACCCTCCAATGAAGTCACAAGTATGTACAGTAAATCTTCCTCGGCTTTGCCAAAGGGCCCTCCAGCCATTTACCAGAGTTACTGTGCACTTGCTCTAAGGACACTGGCTCTAAGCCAGAGCTGAAAACACTTCTGGAAAAGGCCAGATCATAAATATTTGAGGCTGTGTGTTATTTGGTCTCTGTTGTAACCATTCAACTCTGCTATTGTAGAGTGAAAGCCGCAATAGAAACAGAATGGCAGTGTTGCAGTAAAACTTAATGTATGGGTGCTGATGCCTGAATTTCAAATAATTTTCACTTGCCAATAAATATTATTATTTTGATTTTGCAACAGCTCAAATATGTAAAAACCATTCTTATCTTAAAGGCTCCACCAGGTTTTGCCCATGGGCCGTAGATTGCCAGTCCCTGATTTAAGCTAATGCAATCACTAGCACCCCAAAACAACACTGAGTGGAGAGTCAACAAAATGAGATGGCAGCCATTCCTAGGAACTTCTGGCAAGCATAAACCAAAAGCTGATATTTTACCACAGTGGTTTTCAACCTTGATTGCACACTGCAGTCATGTGGAAAGTTTAAAAATGTGTTTGCCTGGGTTTGACCCCAATTCTACTTTAAGTGTTGTGGGTGTGGACTGGTGGTAGTGATTCTTTCAATCTCCTCATGTGGCTGAATTGTTTAAACAAGTTTGAGAACTACCTTAAAAATTTCATTGTTGAATTTTACTTCAAAGGCAAAGGAAGTAAAGGCAAAAATAAATAAATGGGACTATATCAAACTAAAAGGCTTCTGCACAGCAAAATAAACCAACAACAAAACAAAAAGGCAACCGAATGAATGGTAGATGATATTTGCAAACAACAACTCTGACAAGGGGTTGATATCCAAAATATACAAAGAATACATACAACTCAACACTAAACAAACAAACAATCCAATTAAAAAATGGGCAGAGGACCTGAATAGACACCTCTCCCAAGAAGACATACAAATGGCCAACAGATATATGAAATGATGTTCAACTTCACGAGCTATTAGGGAAATGCAAATCAAAACTACAATGAGATACCACCTCACACCTGTTATAAACAGTTCCCCCAGAGTCTGAGAAAAGAGAGACAGCACAGGGGAACGGTGTGCAATGATGGGTCTCTTTGACAGGTGGCTGGAGTTCAGGGCATCTTGGTCCTGGACACTGTACCCATCACTGCCTAACAGCCTTTGAGTGAGTCCCATCCCAGGGCTCACTTCAGCCCTAACAGAGTCACACATTATTGGTTCTGGGCAAATGATTTGAGGTCAGCTTGGTCAGGTTTGAATCCTAATGATAAATTCTATGGTGACTCATATAAATTTTTGTCCTGAAATTGAGGACAGTAATAGTCTCTATGTCATGCGTGAGGTATTTGCAAAATTGAGTTAATATATGGAACTATACTGGAAACACCTGGAGAAATGCCTGTGACTTAATAAACCTCATAAGTAACTTAGCTATTACTAGGTCAGGAACTTAGCACAGCTTAGCAAGGGAAGAATATGTGTTATTTATATTCATTGTTACAAGTACCCTGGAAAATGAGAAAGAAAACAGATGGGTACATGGAAGAAGGTTCTGGCATCAGCTGTTAACATTTCTCATGATTCAATACCCTTTCATAACTTAAAAAATGCACAAACAAGGAATAGAAGGAAACATCACAAACCAACAGAGAGATGCAAATAAAAGTCACAATGTGTCAACAATAAAAAAAATCACAATGTGTGTCTAGCCTGGAGGCTCATTTGGTTGGCGTGTCATCTCGTACACCAAAAGATTGTGGGTTCGATTCCTAATCAGGACATATACCTTGGTTGTGTGTTCGATCCCCAGTTGGGGTGCGTTTGGGATGAAAACCAATTGATGTTTCTCTCTCTGTCTCTCTCCTCCCCCCCCCTTTTTTCTAAAAATTCAATTTAAAAACATATTTTTTTTAAAATCAGCAAGGATATAAGAGATCAGAATATTGCAATTTCACTTCAGTGCCACACATGGAAGGTCTCAAAGGTTGTGAGTTATAGGATTATCCTGAGAGCAGGAAACACAGTGACAGCAATGACCCCCCCCACCCCAGAGGAGTTCATCTGAGGCCTGGTTGTCATCAGTACATTGTGGAATTATCAGCAATGAACGGAATTTTACTCATAAGAAACCCTTAGGCAGTATGGAGTAATGAATGTACAAAAGGTACAACACACAAACCTAGAGAACATTAAATATGAGACTCCACAGGAAGATGGTTTCTAACTGTCTAATTCCCGTAATCTTCCTGACCCCCAGACCAAGAGTGTTGTTTGCTGGTACAGTGTTTCAGTTGAATGTGGTAAAAATAAAATACCCTTAGTGAATCCACATATGAGAGAGAGAATTGAGATTATCTTATTTCTGTAGATGCCAAAAAACTGCCAGATCCTTCCACATGTTAAATTACATGTGCTGGCAGGAGTGTGTGTGTGGGGGGGGATGGACAGCAGCACAACTCCTAGGAGTGAATACCCAGTGCAATATAACCAAGACATTTTATGAGCATACCTGTGGTTACGATCTCCAATAAAGTAGAAAACATACAAGAGACTTATTAAAGAGAGATTTACACAATGGTAAAAGGAACAATCCACCAGGGAAACATAATGGACCTAAGTGTGTATGCACTAAACAACAGAGCCAAAGAGTACAACACGAAGCAAAAACTGATGGAGCTGAAAGGAGAAATAGCCAAGTCCACTATGATAGTTGGGGCCCTCAGATCCCCTCTCAGAAAGTGATAGAATTGCGAGAGAGAAAATGAGCATATAGGACATCTGAATAGCACAAATTATCAGGATCCGCATGACAAATAGAACACTCTCCTAACAGCAGCAGAGTACAATGTTTTTCAAGTGTCTATGTAGCATTCACCAAGACAGGCCATCTCCTGGGCCATCAAACAAACCACAAGTTTAAAAAGAATTGAAATTACACAGAGTATGTTCTCTGACCATAGAGGGATCAAATTAGAAATCGATAATAGAAAGAGAAAAAAAGAATCCCTAGAGATTTGGAAATGGTAGTTGAAACATTCCAGTTCATCATTCAGACACTTGTTATAGAAGAGCTGAGGTTAGAAAGAGCTGTCTCCTGAACTCAAAGCCATTTCAGACTGGGCGAAGAGAAAGCTCACTCTGAATGTTTCAAATAGAGTATTGTTGCGGGCAAGGTGGGAGGGAGGAGGACAGTTTAGGAGCCTGGTACCTTTGTTCCACCTGATATTAAAGCTTGTACTACACCAGAAAAGGAAGCACAGCCTTCCTGATGTACAGCTGGTGTTTACTCTAACCCATGGACGCATACACCTCTGTTCTTTATAAGTCCTGCTCCGTTTTTAAAAAGGTTCAACACAGTTACCTCCTTCTCCTTCCCTTTCCTCTCCTCCTCCTGCTTTTTCTCCTCCTTCCACACCATGTACCATTTCTCCTCTGTTAGCATCTGTCAGATAAGGCTCTTGTATCTGGACAGGCAGCGGTGTTTCCTTTCTGGGGTTGGTGGGATTGGTCTGTTACAGCAGGTTGGCACTTTGTTGCCCTGCCCTCACATGGTGTTAACCTAAGACGTGGTACATGGTAAGTGGCCACAGACATGACTCCAAACTTGAATTTTTGTTCCTTGTTTCAGAAGACAATGATGGTGGTTATTCACCTCAAGGAAGAAAGAAAAGTTGGAGTTATTTTCGAGGTAATTTTGGCAAGAGGACCCATCATCAATATGGTGGGTATGGACTTCAGCCTTCACACCTCCAGGAGGATGATGGAAACGTGGAGATGAGGGGAGTGCAGAAGTACCAAGTCAGACAGTAAGTGACCCGGCAGCCTGGTTTGCATGTAGCAGCCCATGGGACTGTGCAACTCCTTCTCTGTCCATGGTTTTCTTTTTCCTCTCTCACTGGAAAACTGAAGAATGCTACAAGTGAAATCATGGTTGAACAATCCTAATTGTAGTCCTGATGTCAGAGATGCAAGGATATATAGAAGACTTTCTTAACATTCATGGCCACCCTTTTTCTCTCCACTTTTCCCCTGTAGCACTCCCTATACCATGGGATACTACAAGAGGAGAGTGCAATGGCATAATGAAGGCGGTCTCCATGTTACTCTGTGGTCTAATAGAAATCATCTCAGGAGTGAAATGGGGGAAGACACACCAGATCGAACCCTGGGGAGCTGGTTCAAGGTCACAGTGAGTGTCCTGAAAAAAATGTATGGCGTGTTCAGAGAGAAAGGTCAGGTGGACTATGTTGGTCTCATGTGGAGACACTGGGTACTTTGCTGGGGACAGTTTACAATCTGCCCTTTTTATTACTTACTCATCTAAGGGCAGATTCAGAGAAGCAATATAAGGAAACAGGTGACTATGGAAAACAGAGGAGGTTGTCTTAAGGGAAAGGTGAAACTACAGCCAAGGAAATGGAGCAAGTCCACACTGGATGTCTCAGTTTGGCTCAAGCTGAGTGTGGGAGATGGGGGGTTGAGTCTCTGGAAAACTTCTCAGAGGGGCAAGCAGTGTCCTCGATAGCATCTCCTGGGACTTTATAAAAGGAAGAAAATGTCTAACTCTTAAGTTGATTATGGGGAGGAGAGCTTTAAATGGAGAGATAATGGATTTAAGAACTCCATATTTGGCACAAACATAAGTAATCATGCCAGTGTTCACTTTTTAGAAGCCCTTTAAAGTTCAGGAGAAGGTAGGCAAAGAACATTGTATTCTTTTGGGTCTGTACTCCAGCCTTCTTTTATGTTGTCCCTCCTGTCTTCATACCCTTCTTTTCACCCTTAGGTTCCCTGTGGAAGAAAGTATGACAAGACATGGCTAATGGATTCAATCCAGAGCCATTGCAGTGTCCCCTTCACTCCAGTGGATGTAAGAGAGGATGGTGAAGCCAGATGAGGGGGCACAGGGAAGGGGGAGAGACCTGGCTCAGCTTGGGCCATTGTCCTCTGACACTATTGTTGCCTTCAATCCTTGTAGTTTCACTATGTGAAAAAGAAGGCTCGGTTCTTTGTCCAGGATGCTAATGCTGCCTCTGCATTGAAGGACATAAACTACAAGATTTGTGATGAGGAGAACCAAAAGGTGTGTGTCGAGGTCATTATCTGTGCTTAGTCCTTGAGCAGGAGGACAGGCAGAGCTGGTCACTTTCTGTAGGACTAGAGCTCCTGTTACTTACTCCACCTCTTCTTCCTGCAGATACCTATCTATGTCAATACTTCTGCTGAACCTTACTCTGTGCAGTATAAGCTGGATCTAGAAGAAATGGAGCAGCTAAAGGTAATGCAGACTCAAGATATATGTATACCCACACTCAGACCCACATATTCCTCCTCTAACCCCTGACTGCCCTGTTCGCACTACTGACAGAGAGCTCTCTCTCCATTTCCTTCTGTAGGTGGCCATGAGCAAACGATATGATGTGTCCCAGAAAGCTCTTGATCTTTGTAAGCTTCGCTTTGACCCAGGTACAATTGACAACAGTAATTCTAGGATAGGTGAGGGTGGAGGGTTCTGCATGGGAGGGAGACTTAAGGATGGTAATGAAGGAGGGGTTGGTGCTGGTCCTGGACCCCTCTCAGCCTTGTGATTCTGGACTCTCACCTTCTTGAAGGCTTTGCATGTCTTGATATTGATATAATCCTGAATCGGAGAAACTGTATGACTGCCACCCTACAGATCATCAAAAAGAATTTCCCTGAGGTGAGGCCTTAGACCTAGTGCTGGTGTTATAGTAGGGGGTCGAACAGATGGGATGGAGGGCAGATTTGTTTCTGAGGTCCTAGATAGTAAGCATCATGCTAACTCTTCTTCCCCAAAGCTGTTGTCCTTGAACTTGCGCAATAACAGACTGTACCAGCTGGATGGCCTGTCTGATATTATACAGATGGCCCCCACAGTCAAGATTCTGAACCTCTCCAAAAATGAGGTGAGAAGAGGAACAGAGCAAAGTTGGGTTGAGAGTGGGTGGTAGTGGTCATCAGAGTGATGATGGTAGCGCAGGCAAAGGTACCTGTGAGGCAGGGAGGGAAGGGACTGTGGGTTCAGTGGCTTGGATGTCCCTCTTTCCCTGGGACTATTTTTCAGTTTCCTCCCTGTATTTCTCAGCTGAAATCAACCTGGGAGTTAAGCAAGATCAAAGGTCTGAAGCTCGAAGAGCTGTGGCTTGAAGGAAACCCTTTATGTGTCACCTTTAGAAACCAGTTCACCTACATAAGGTCAGTGTGACCCCCTGTCAACCTTCCTGGGGTCCTTTGACTCCTGGGAGCATAAACTACCCCTCACAGTGCCTGCCTCAGAAGGTGGCAGCCCTGGTCATCTGAGAGGACTTGAGGACCTACCTTCTCTTCTCTGTGCCCCTCACCTGTGCTTAGACGTCTCCTACCCTTCCTCTGACCTGCTCACCTGTTCTCATGGTGTTGGGTCTGATTCCAGACTCTGCATCTAGTTTTCTCTATCATGCCCAGCAAGATTGTCCTCTAAGATCCAGGGCTCCCCATATCACTAGGACAAGGAGTGCTGAACCTCGAGGCAGATATTGCTGATCTGGGCTGAGAAACATCCTCCATCCCAGACTCATGCTGAGACAGTCCTTCCTGCTTCTGAGATGATACAGAGTATCCTAAGTCTTTTCTGGGAGCAACCTTCTTTCCCTTGCATGTAAAGGGTGTCCCCTAGAATCCCAGGTTGACATGGAGCCTTTCCTACCTCGTGTCAATGGCTCAGTCCGTGGGAACAGCTGTTATGACATCTGTTCCTTTAGTGAAATATCAGGGATGAGCATTCCTTAATAGAATCCAGGTTTTCCTGAGTGAGGGGCCAGAAGTAAGCCACTGGCAGTGAGCAGAGGGCCTCTTGAGGCAGCACCAGAAGGCAGAGTGCAGAGGGGGTTGAGGAGACAGAAAAGCCTTCTCAGGGACACTGCCGCTCCCTGCACACAATCACATCATCTGCCAGGTCCTTCAGAGGAGCCCTGGGTAGCCTGAAACAGGTAGGATTTCTCAGTCAAGGAACCAATTAAGAACAGGCATAGGTGCACAGGGGCCATGAGGAGAGAAGGTGGTGATCATAAGAAGGGGTAACAGATCCCCCACTCCAAGCTCAGCTGGGGCCTGACCCTTTACTCTTTCTGGGGAAGGTCTCCTGATCCTGTGGCTGGTGTGTTTCCCATGCTCAGTTCAGATTGAGTCCCACAGGTTACAAAGTCTCAACCAATATCCCATGGTCCTGAGGCCAACAGATGCATGTTTTCCCTTCCTCCCTGGGGTCCCAGGGCCACCCAGGGGCAGATGAAAGAAAGGGCTGCTGCAGGGAACCCATTCCCCCTTTCTTTTCTCTTCTTATCTTACCCTCACCTCCACTGCCAGGGCAGAGCTTCTTTCCATTCCCTTTACTTTCTTTTTCATCTTTGTCTCTACTCTTCTAGCCTTTGCAATCTCCTCTCCTGTCTTCTCTCCTATCTTTATCCCCCTCCCTTTCCCTCCATGCCTCCTAGTCCCTCCCTCACCTACCTGCCTGCCATCCTTGGGGCATGTCCTGTTTCTTCCAGGATGCTGTACCCCCGGTGAGGTAAGTGAGCCCTGGGCCCCCACCTTATTCCCTCTTCTCTCTGGAGCTATCAGTGTGGACCTGAGGGAAGGAGACAAGGAGGGGGAAGAAGCCCCCCAGTCTGGGATCCATATGTTGTCTTGTGGCTCTGGAGAAGGAGTCAGGGCCCTCTAGGTGGGAGCTAACCAGGAGGAAGGAGAGGGAGAGAGTGGCGGGGGAAGGAAATGGTGAAGGATGGAAGAAGGAATGGAGGTGATAATGAAAGTGCAGATGTGGAAAAGATGGGACTGTGCGTTTCAGAGATTCCATTTGGCAGATGGTCAGTGCTCAGCAGGGGACTGGATCCAAAAGCCTTGAAATCAGAGGCTGAGGAGGGCCCAGGTGGCTTCTGGGTGGGCAGAACACCTGTCTCTGTTCAGGCCTTCAGTGTTTTAAGTAAATGGAAGCTTTGCAGCCCAAACTATCAACCACTTCTTTCTATTTTTGGATTTGGACAGTGCCATCAGGAAATGTTTCCCCAAGTTATTACGCTTGGTAAGTGCCTACATCCATCATCATCTCTTACTAACATTGACAACCTCTACATCTGCCCTCAAGCCCTTTGTGTCTTGCCAAGATTAAATGTTTGCATCAGAGCCTTATCCATTTGGAGGGACATGGACTCCTGAAAAGGACATGAATATGAATGATCTCTGGGAGAGTATACACACATACACAGGAAGAAAGACAAGGAGGGAGGGAGGGACGGAGGGAGGGAGGGACACAAGTGGCATGAAACAGTAGAGATGTCCAGGACCTCAAGATGCAGATGCCCACTGGAATCTTGCCCATGTATTTTTCAGTGCCTTGTCACTGCTCACCTCTTACCTTCACCGTCTCCGGGGCCCATCCTTTGTCCTAATCACCCAGGACCACCTCCCTGGTCTGCACTTGTAACTTATCTTCCCTTCTCCAGGATGGCCAGGATTTAGTTCCACCAACTACCACTGCCATTGACAAACCCCACCTAATGAAGCCCTTAGTAAAGGTGAGGAGGAAGTATCAACACTTGGGCTCTTGTAAGGGAGGCTTTATCAGCCACGTGGTCTCAAATATCTTTGATTCTAGGAAAGCTGTAAAGGATCTGATGTTCTGAGGACTCAAGTCCTGCAATTTGTGCAGCAGTAAGTTCCCCGGGGACAACTAGGAATGGAGAGAGTTGGGACAGTCTGAGCCAACGAAGCACAGATCTGTTCCTAAGAGTTTTCAGGTCCCTTTTGAGGTCCAGTCCATAGAGATAGACTGTCTTCACTATCCCCTCACAGATACTACTTGATCTATGACTCTGGAGACAGACATTGTCTTCTCTGTGTTTATCATGACGAGGCCTGCTTCTCCCTAACGATTCCCTTCTTTCCGGATGAGCCAGCCCGGTGAGTATCACAGTTCCATTTCTGATTTTGGGGCATGTGTCTCCCCAGGAGAAACTACTTAGCTCATGGAAATACCCATACTCGCTGGACCACCACACCCTGTTTGGTTTTTCCCCCCTTTTCTCCTAGAAGCAGCATGTTTGAATATTTCAAAGATAACAGGAATATGAAGAACCTCAAGGACCCTGGTGCGTGTGGGATTGGGAAGATATGGCAGGGAAAGGGGGCGTGAATGGGTCAGTCATAGGGCCCAGGGTGTGGCAACCTTGACATTTGCCATCCTTCCCCCACAGCCCTGCATTTTCAACTGCTGAAACATACAAAACGTGACATTGTGTGTTCTCTCTGTGTGTTGCCCAAAACTCAGCATGATGTCAACTCCTTCGTGGTAGACATGTGGTCCCACTCGGTGAGCACCTACTTCCTCCCCCAGTTAGACCCAGAAAGCCTCAGGTGAGTAGGTGTAGGTGGTGCAGAGGGTGACAGCACCTGCGCTCTTCCCTTTCAGGAAAGCCTGCTCTTCTTTTGTGTCAATGGGATGTTCAAGGAAGGTGAGTTTGTGTAGATTCCTCTCTCCAGATGCCCCACTGCTCCCTCCTCTTGGAGTCTCAGAGGTTCCCCTATCCCTTCCCTTTCCTTACTATTCCCTCTGTGTTCTCCTGCTTCCAGTGTGCCCCCAAACTATCCTCCTCTGACCTGCATCCATGCCAGCCAGCTGAGCACAGCTGTGGCTTTGGGGACACAGGTGTGGGGTTTGATGGCTGTCATCCCAGATCCTGACTATGGGAACTTAGGCCCATTACCTAACCTCTCATTTTCCTCATTTGCAAAATGGAGCTAATAATACCCACCTCTTGGGTAGCTGCAAAAAATGAATCAAATGAACTTGTGAAGTGATTGTCCCAGGGCCCACCACATAGTAGGATCCCTGTCAGTGGGACCAGATTTCTCCTGTTGTTACCCTCCCTATTCCTGACACCCTGTCTCCCAGGGATCAGTTTTCCCCTTGGCAT